TACATTTTTATTTGAAAGACAATTAGGTACCTGTCCAATTCCCGCGTATAAAGCTTATGGCCGTCTAACATTTTTTTTAAAAACGCCCCACATGTGGGTTTCTGAACTGAATTGGGTTCGCGCACCCCTTAACTATTATTAAATAGTTTTGTATAGTTGTCCGTCCCCTTTGTTCGCCCGTTTATCTGTGTTCGGTATAACCCCGATACTTTTTATAGCTTTTAATTTTTGTCCGCCCGTCCGTCCGTCCGGGTGCGCTATAACTCTTTGTAAAAGTGGTGATCTTGTCGAAGTTTGGTGTACGGGTACTTTAGACGTTAAAGTAGGACGCCATTGGAAGCTAGCTCAACAGGAACAACAGTTATAGGACTTAGTCACGAGTGATGCCGGAACAAAATTATTCTTGACACACGAATTTGTTCCCGAATCACTCGACGTCCTATGACTATTGTTCCTGTTGTGCTAGCCCTAGCTTCAATCAGTAGCGTCCTACCTTACGGTCCAAAGTACCCGTAAACACCCAATTTCAACACGATCGGCCACTTTTAAAAAAATATTCTTTGCACATGAATTTGGCTTTCAAATGCATTACTTGATGCCGAAAGAGTACATCACATGCACATTTGATAACCGCGTGTGTTTGATTCAAAGATGTTAAATTCTCTTTCTGAAGCCAAATGTATTTTGAACAAAACCATGTCCATAACTTTTGATTGAGAAGTCTAATCGAAAAAGTACGAATCGTTTTGGATTCTACGCACCAAAATTAATAAGAAAAAGTGTTTTCCCGAGAAATTTGGGTGTAGTCGATTTTTGGAAAAAAAGGAAGGTTAACACTGCCTTTTTTTGAGGCCCCAAAAAAAATTGTCTCAGATCGACTCGGAAAATAAATTTTCTTATAGAATGTGGCCTGTAGATCCATAATTTCAAACAGTTCAAAGATTGGGCTACTAGTTCAAAAGTTACAGCCCTTTGAATTTTCTTTCGAAATTGGTTTTAGTCTATAACTTTTGATTGAGAAGTCTGATCGAAAAAGTACGAATCGATTTGGATTCTACGCACCCAAATTAATAAGAAAAAGTGTTTTCCCGAGAAATTTTGGTGTAGTCGATTTTTGGTAAAAAAGGAAGGTTATACACTGCCTTTTTTTTTGGCCCAAGAAAAAAATTGTCTCAGATCGACCGGAAAAAAAATTTTCTTATAGAATGTGGCCTGTAGATCCATAATTTCAAACAGTTCCAAGATTGGGGACTAGATCAAAAGTTACAGCCCTTTGAATTTTCTTTCGAAATTGGTTTCTAGTCTATAACTTTTGATTGAGAAGTCTGATCGAAAAAGTACGATTCGTTTTGGATTCTACGCACCAAAATTAATAAGAAAAAGTGTTTTCCCGAGAAATTTTGGTGTAGTCGATTTTTGGTAAAAAAGGAAGGTTGTACACTGCCTTTTTTTGAGGCCCCAAAAAAATTGTCTCATTTCGACCGGAAAAAAACTTTTTCTTATAGAATATGGCCTGTAGATTCCATAATTTCAAACAGTACCAAGATTGGGCTACTAGATCAAAAGTTACAGCCCTTTGAATTTTCTTTCGAAATTGGTTTTTAGTCCATAACCCTGAACAAAACATTCCAAAATCGTTATTCATCCACCAAGATTGTTGGCAAAAAGAGCATTATGTCAATGCCCAAGACATCAATTTGATGCATTTTTGTTGCACATAATGTGTATTTTGATCAAAACATGTCAAGATCATTGGAAAAAAACCAAAGACATTATGTCGCTGCAATATGAATTTAATGCTCATGCCCAGGACAACAATTGATAGCTAATGTGTCTCTCGTAGGCATTTTGTAAAATCCGTCATATTAGAAAATGAATAGTCATTTCGTGAAACGCTGAGAATTTGACGTGTGTGGTAGTTTCCCTTCTTCTTCCAGATCGATAAGGGATACCATTTATCGATCTCGAAGGTGAAGGGAAAGAAACCAACCGCTTAGCCCTACAAACTATACTGTGCCACAGTTTACCCGCATAAAATAACGGATTTTACAAAATGCCTACGACATATATATAGAATCTTAGTGTTAGGGGGTTTATAACAGTAAACAATACATTTTAAATGAACGCAAAATTTTTGAATTTGCCTAATTTTTGAGGAGTTGAAGATAAAATGCAAATGGTAAATGGTTCTTAAAGGAAATTTAATTCTGTACACTATCCACTTGTATATAAAAAGTGAACAGGTAATCAGCTAGAGGGACAAGTTCGACCGAAACTGTGAGTTTTTTAATGACTAATCTTCAAGAGCCCTTAGCTCGAAAGCGCTGCTATATTTTATGAGCTTTCGATTTTTTAAAAAAATATTTTTCGTACGACACGCCGTTTTCGAGATATAGACAAAAAACCGCAAAACTGTACCCTCAACCCCCTATCCTCCCGCCGGCGGCACCAAAATCGCTCGAGACTTCTTACACAATGATCAAGGAGACTTCAATCACACACCCCCGAAAAAATTAGGACTACACGAATTATTTTTTCTATATTTGCTAGAATTACTGGACGATCATGTGAAACTGAAGATAAATAAATCAGTTTGATTGAAGTATTTTGAATTATACCGAGCTCAGCGTACCAAATGTAAAAACTAGGCGCACTGTCGAGTCGGGCTGAGATTAAGAACGCTACAGTTGTAGTTTATGTATTTAGATGAATCTACCACTGATTATATAAATTCATTTTACATCTTTAGAAGTTTATTACTTCCCTTTTAATTTTCACGTTAATTGAATTTCTTAGATAAAGATGCTTAGTCCTTTCGTTTTAAAAAGAATCCAAACAAGATTAGGCTTTATTCATTTGAATGAATGAACGAGTGCGGTATTAAAATAAACGTTAGTTGATTTTGTGAAGCTGCCAAACCAACTCCACGTATAAATGTTGTGCGTAGTTCAGGTTTAAAATGACGCTTGGTAACAAAAATTTGATTAAATAATCAAGTAAAATAATACAAAAGTATCGCGCTATAGCATTAAGGTTATGAGTCCAAATACTCGAAATCAATCTCAGAGTTCAGGTGAGCTTAAATGAAGTACACTAAATTTTGTTATTAGTTACTAAACTGCGAGTAGTTGCGATTAACTTTTCACAAAATTGTCATTGTGATTAATGTGAGAATGGTTGAAGGCTTGCAAATATTCACCATTATCGAACTGGAGTTATTTTAATTCTTTGTATAGTTTATGTTCGCTTAGAATATTTCACTGAATTGCGTGTTATTTAAATTAAATTGGTACCTCTGTGTAGTATCAGCGGAAGAAGAATTTCTAAATTTTTAATTGCTTGATAGAGTAGGAAACATACCATGAATTTTCGTTCCTGTTGTTTTTAATTCCAAAAAAATAAAAAACTGATGGACTATGAGTAAAACCTCGAGTATAATCATAGAAATGCAGTTTCAAGTCCGATGATAGCCCAACATCTGATACTATAGCAATAAAAACCAAACCCTTGATCGATGGATAGAAGAAAAAAGGTATCACACAAACCGTGCACAATTTCGGTTTAAACGTCGATCAGAAACTAAGAGAATTCGGTAAGTACAGAAAATAAAACACGTGACAGGAAACCTTCGTGTAGCTCAAATTAAAATGTCTGCAGACCATGAAAATGTTGGCGCAAAAATCAGCACAAAACGAGTCCAGTTCAGATATGCAACCTTTGGCAAACATTTAAAACCTTATTAAGAAGTAAACCCTTACTAAATGAAACATTTTCATCATAGACGCATAATTCGGCATAAAAAATCACAATCGAGATGTCATGATCGGAGCCTTAAAAACTGTGTGACCGTTTTAATGCGAGAAATGTGGACATGGGCGCACATATCAGCACAAAAAATGAACTTTTCTTGACTAGATCTTATTCAATTTCTCAATTATCTATAAATGCCCAGAAAATATAAATAATGGAACGCAAAATGTTACCTACAGGCTACACGTGGAGTTTAGACGTATAAAATCTCACACAGCATATCTAAAAGGAACAAGGAAAATATTGAAGAGAAAATCTTGTAAGCGCAATAGAGAGGCATGGGATTACGCGCAGCGAATACAATAAAATAAAAAAGGCGAAATGAAAGGCACAATTTCAGTTTGATAACAATAGAGTTCTAGCCACAGAGAAAATTGTACTTACGGTGGTATAAGTAAGAATAAACACTGCACAATATTCTCAAATAGAAGAGAACTCTAAACTCCAGTGTATAGTTTCTAGAGCTGACGACCTAAAAGCAAAATAGAGACGGCGGATCGGATTTGTTCCGAAAACCGATACACCTTTAAATAAATGCTAATTAAGCAAATCCCTTAAGGAGTTCCAACTGATTGTCGTAACTCGATTTAAAATGTACCTAGTCTACATTAAATGTTAATTAAAACTTAACGAAAATAATAAAAGAGATTTGTGATGGGTTAATTAATAACTTAACTAAAAGAGAACTTTTAACACACCTGGTTCGAGCTTTTTAACTTATAAAAGAAATTTTAATTAAGGAACTTGTAAAATAAAGAGTTAAGGAAAACTACAAATAAGTTGATTATGGCCATGCTGTAAGTGGAAAATGGAAAACGTTACTCCCAATGCAAATTTTCAAAAAAAAAGACAACGGGCTGAATCTGCATACAAATTTCGGGAGTATTGCGAGCAATCAATGTACTTCACAAAACGGTAGCTTTCTAATTGTTCGGCGCATGCGTTTCCCTCTAACAATTTTTCTAAATTTCCCGATATATTAAATTTTAAGCACGCGAATTTTGAGTGTTACGTAAATGAGTCGAAATGAGTTTGTATGTCTTCGTAATAATAATTTGTGTAAAGCTTTTTGTGTACGGGCAGAATCCTATTCCGGTAACGCGGTGCGTAGGGAAATTCTATTTTATCGTTACAGATATCTTTAAGGAAAATGGAAATTGTAGCGTAGTTTTCATGAAAACCACCCCGAAAGGTTAACCAATAAAGTTAGTTGATTGCGCAGAATCGTATTTTACTCGGATTCTGCGTTGGACCAAAATTCATTGGAAACTCTAGGAAAAGCCCTAGCAAAAGATAGAATTGTTAGCAGTGACACACACTTTGTTAGCGTATGTACTCTCCTGCTTTGATGCTATCGGTAAGTTAAACTTAGTGTTTTGCATACGTTACATTTTAATTAGTTCGCTTTTGGTCATAGAGTGAAGCAAAACCGCATAAAAATATTACATTTGCGAATGAGTCGTTGCATTTCACGTGTTTTTGTTTTGTTTATGACAATAAGCTCAGGATGACCCCATGGGGTATAGATGCGTGAATATTCGCTGGTTGTGCTCTTATCGCTGAAATTTCAGAAATTTTGGAAATTTTACGTACATAAATAATGCGAAGTTTCGATTGTCATTACTATACTGCGTATATAGAAATTGAGAAACCTTTAAAGTGAAAAGTTTATTCCGCACAACAATTGATTCGCTCTGAACGCGGGATGAAAAAGCTATTTCATACGGACAATGTATCCACCTCTCATTGCAATATATGGTTTTTATTAAAAAAAACCGAAATACTGAATCCAGCTACTAAGTGATACCTTCGTGCAATCAGTCATTTTTGTTTACCATGGGCGGGGTCCCTCAAGAGTGCAATGATATAATGTTATTATTCAAATGCGTCGCAATGGTAACAATTGCATAAATTCAATTTTGTACGGTAACTTACAACCGAAAACCTTTGTCCGTCAATTGGGGGGTCCTAGCCACAATAATGACTGTCTCAAGCAGTGCCCGACGCAAAAAATAGGTTTTCAATTGTTATCGACTATGTTAATTTCTAATTACCTCTCCCCTCTCTATTTAAGTGTCTGTTGAGGCATTCGCGATATCTACAGTAATTTCTGTGGCGAAAGAATGCAAAACAACACCTTTCATGTCACACACAAGACTCTCATTAACGTCTTTTTTGAACTTTGAATATAAAATATACTTATATTCAAAGGTTTGAATGAGATATTCACTTGTATTTAAAATTATTATTACTTACTTGTGGATGTTCTAGTAGCTTAAATTATAATTTTATATCTATTCGTAATACATCTTAACTCTTTTTTGTTCCAGAGGTGTATACGTCTTTATTTATGTATTTTGAAAAATTGGTATATTTTACATTAATTAATAATATATTTTTGGAATTGGTAGTACATAATAGTAATCCATCGACATGGGTAACCGAGGAATTTTTGAAAAATGAATTATTAGCGTTTTATTTGTACGCCCGTCCATCCGTATGTTATTTGATAGATATATGTTCTCCTTTAATCTCGCAAAAATGAATTTTTGGAATTTATTTCGGAGTGACCTCTAAATTTGAACAAAATCTTCAATTCAAAAATAGGACATAACCTTTTATTCTTTGTCCTTTTTTTAAGTTGATAAAGCAGCGATTTCAATTATTTACCAGCGAGAAAGAAATTTATTGCTAAATACACCCTCTACTGATTGCTCACTATAGATTCAATATACAAGTTTTGCTTTGGTGCAAGGGGTGCCGATGAAGGAGACACTTGTTTGTTCGAATACGACATTTCGCGTGTAGTTTATGTTGTCTGCTTTAATTAATCCCGATCGACCGATTGTTATTTAAGCTTAAAGCAAGCCTGATCAGCCTACCCCCGACGTGCCTGTATTGAGGGATATCGGAGGAATGAAACACGATGACCACAAACGTCGAAGCGTCACAAAGTTAAAACAACCGTATAAAGTGTACCTATCTGTTTTTTAAGGAAAACATCGATGTCAAATCTTCGCCAATCGATTTCTACGAGTTCAAGGATCAGTGTTATTGAATATGAGCCGGATTAAAAGTCCTGTCTTCGAATGCGAGGTGATTACTTATAGGTTCGAGCGGTGCAAAAAATTCCCCTAGTGAAAATCGTGTGCGATTCTTCGTATCTTGTTTTATATTAAGATAATTTCCTAAGGGGGGCAATTTACATGCTTGCCCTAGGCGGCAGGCGCCATTTAAGCATACTACGCCACTGTTTGAATAATGCTAACGATTTAATCACACAATCTCAATAAACTTGATAAATAAGACAAATTCAAATTACAAGTAAAATCCGTTTAGGTATAGTCAAATTTGTACGGACAGATGAGATATGCAAAACTGCTTCTTTTACAATTATTCGCTCCTCAGCTCGAGCTAGGTGGATATTGCGGTCACCGGTTTTTGGACATGTTAAAATTTCTTCAAATGTCAAAATCTTTTAAGGAACTTTTAAAGAATATCATTTTTTTCCGTCTGTATGTATATGTACATTGGCAATTTTCCGAGATGTCGGCTCAACGGATTTGGTTCAAATTTTGTATGTGCAAGTATATTAGGTACACGTAAACGAAGAATAGTTGGCCGGATTTTGGAGCGCGCAACGACATCGGACATTTTTTAGTGCATTTTTGGAAAAAAATACACTATTGTATTCGTTAGGGCTGGCTGGCTGGCTGTCCAGCTGAGATCTCAACAATTACAATAGCTAGATACTTCAAATTTTCACTAAAAGCTTTCTGATGCAGTGTAAATGTGCAGGGTCGAGTCTATTTTCAGCTAGATTACTCGTGAGATCGATAATTTTAAACGTTGTTAATGAAATACTGATCTGCATTACCAAAAATGAGCTTTCATCATGCATATGCTGATTTTCAACTTGTTTCAAATAGCAACCTACAATTAGTTATTTTAGAGACCTTATTTTTGTGTGTACCATCTACACAAATTATTCCAGGTTTTATTACAAAAAAAACGAGAAAAAGTTAAAAAAAATTTGTCGGCAAGACGGTTATTTTGATTTCGTTAAAATGTTGGCACTGTACATTAGGTATAAAGGATGTAGCATTGCTAAAAACTTTTTTAATATACGAGTTTTTAGCGCTGTGACGTCATACAACCGTTTTTTTTTCAAATAGTAAGTAACACATTTTTAATTAATAATAATAATAATATATATATTCATCCTGTAAGACAAACAAAGTGTATAGGACAAGTCAATTAAACACAAAAGACAAACATTTGACATTTAACATTTAACTGATGAAATCTTCCACAGAATAAAATAAATTTGCCAACAGGAAGATTTTGAGTTGCCGTGTGAAGGTAAACAGTTTCGGCGCGTTCTTGATTTTGGACGGGAGTTTATTGAACATTTTTACCCCTATTATATGTGGGCTGGCTTTGTTAATATTTGTTCTTGCAAACGGTATGCTGAGGTTACTTGTAGCTCTCGTTTCGTGTTCGTGTATGTCACAGTTTCGTTTAAGGTTGTCTTTACGCAGGAATACAAATTTGCACACCTCGAGTATATAGAGGCACGGTAGCGGTAAAATCCGTAGCAGGGTGAAAAGTGGTTTGCATGACTGTAGACTTTTTGCTCCGCACATGCATCTAATGATACGTTTTTGGGTGGTGAAGACTTGTTTCATTGAAGAAGAAGAGCCCCATAGGCATAGTCCATATCTTAGCCTCGATTCGATGCAGGCATAGTAGAACATTCGCAGTTGCTTGATATCAAGGTAGCAGCGTAGGTAGCGTACTTGGTAGCACATGCGATTTAATGTAACTATTAGGTTGTTATTGTGTGGTTTCCAACTTAACGTCTCATCTAAGGTGATACCAAGGAATTTGGCTGTAGTTGAGTTTGTCAAGGTGGATCCCGATATTGGTATGGTAAAGTGAGGGAGATTTATGTTTTGATGGTTGTGAAATTGCACCAATTGGGTCTTACTTTGGTTTAAGAAAAGTAGGTTTTCATTAAACCAGTTTGCAATACTTTCGACAGTGTCTGTACATTTCGCAATTAATTCCCTCCCTTCTCGGTGGGACACCACAGCGGTTGTGTCGTCGGCATATAAGGTGAGTGTCGCATAGTCATTCACGTTGTTCACGACATCGTTAGTGAACAACGTGAACAGGAGCGGTGCTAAGATGCTGCCTTGGGGAGTACCAGCATTTAGTTCTATGACATCAGAAGAGGCAGTAACGGTACTACCATTGTATCTGTGGGGCAAAGAGACGTACTGCTTTCTGTTCCTTAGGAAGTTTTCCAGCCACTTTAGAGCGTTTCCTCTTATACCGTAACACGATAATTTTTGCAGGAGTCGGTCATGGTTGATGCAGTCAAACGCCTTGGTTACATCGCAGAATAATCCAACAGGAGATTCGTTCTTGCCGATATGCTGTAGCACTTTCTCGTGGAAGAAGTGTAGAGCATCGGAGGTTGACATTTTAGACCTGAATCCAAATTGGTGAGGCGTTAGTATTTTGTATTTGGTTATAAAGTTAACCAATCTCTCTAGGAAGCAATACTCAAAAATTTTTGAGAGCACAGATGTTATCGATATGGGTCTGAAGTTGTTAACGAGTGAGGTTTTCGAGCGGTTACCCACTCAAATACCACTATTAACCTGAAGTACATAACGTTACTAGACTGTAGATAAAAAACGAATTATTAGTAATAAACACAAACAAAATTTAAAAAAAGCGCGGGAAGTCGCAACAACGTGGGACCCCGTCTGAGTTATTCACGAAAAAGCGTATCATAAAAAAGTTATCCCGCGATCGCGAACAAATTAGAAAGACATTTCGGAACCGAGCAATGATAAATACCGGGATAAATACATACCGGGTTATATACAATACTTTTCAAGTAAGCAATTTATACCAGTTTCAAGGGATGATTTATTGGATTTGCATAAGCAGTACGAATTGAGGTGTAGCGGTCGTTTCTTTTGTGAATTGAGAGTACGACTAACAATTTCGTAATTACTGTATATACAGGGTAATATTTTTCATATGGAGGGGCTGAATTTATTATGACAAAATTTTTTTTTCACATTACTGTCCCCCATTACTGTCAAGTGTAGCGCAACTTAATTTTTTTCATGTAGAAACCTATACTTTTTATTGAATACTCTTGTTTTACATCGGAAAATAATAAACTTAGGTGGAAAACGTTTTTCCCTTCACATTTGTTGAGAACACCCTTCCAAAACCGCAATTTATAGTTTGAGATATAGGAAGCTGCCCTGTTAAGCATTTGGCACTTTTCTTCCATATAATAATGAGACTAACAGCTTTTGAAGGTAAAAGTCA